CTATACCATATAGCCTTGGTTTATAATAGGCTATACCATATAGCCAAAGTGTGCAGAAGGTTATCCCGCCTAGGTTTGTGTAAGTACACTCTATGGCAGGGCTGTTCAAATCACAGTCCTCAAAGGCCGAGCACTGCTGATTTCCCAGCCTTCCTTTTACCTGTGAGCCAGGTGTGAAGCCTCTGTCCAAACAGAATCAGTAATTAACTAACTACCTGGGAGAACTTAAAACACGGCCTGGATTTGGAATCGAGGGTCAGAACTGAAGAGCCCTGCTCTTTGATGTTCTCAATGACGAAATTGCCTAACGATGCATTTCTCAGAATTTGTCATTATGTAACGTTTGACTGTATATTATTATATTCATATTCAGGTACCTCACCATGTATAGTAGTAACACTAAATTAACATGTTAGAGGACAATAAGGGAATTTCAGGTTCTTTGGCTCTGGGTGCCCACTCGCTGTCTTCTTACCAATGCTGCAGCTGCCACCCCTGGCCCGGTACGTCCGGTAAATGCAGAAGCAGGAGATTGGCTTCAGCAGCAGGCTAATGATGGCCATGCTGAAGCTGAACTGAATCTCATGTGAGGCCTTGTCACCGGGGTAGTTCAATCCAAGCTGCACCGAGTCTGTCAGAATGGTCAGCGCCATCCCGAACAGGAACTGGGAAGGGAAGAAGCAACACGCTGGTCTAGAGGAACTGGCAAAACTGGCAAAAAGGTGGCATGGAAGTAAGAGCAGATAATGGAAGGATATTTCAATGTGTCACTGGCGTATGACCACATTCTGCCAATGCAAATTGAAGACAAGCTGACAACAACCTGAAACTGAAATGAAGCAATACTGGATTTACAGATTTTACAGAAATTCTAAAAGAAAGAAAGAAAACTTTTTTTGGGGGGGTGGGGGTGCTATGGTCATTGTGGGAGGAGCTAGAGCACCCCAAGCTCCTCCTTAATGCCACCACTGACCCTTCCCTCTATGTAAGTCAAGCATCTGATAAATTAATTCCATCTAGGGAACCCAGTGGCGACCTTCAGGCTGCCCCTTGTTTCCTGCTTATACTCACCTTATCTCAGCAACTCCACTCTCCTCAAACTACTCACAGAGACCAAAGTCTTCATTGGTTGCCCTACCAGCCACAGTAGTGCTTTTCCAGCCCAAATATAGGTTATCCTGTTGGAGGTCATTTTGATTCCTGCATGGAATCCAGTTATCTTTTTTTTTCTATCTCGCATCAGTTCTGCAACAGGCCACTCCTTGGATTGTGCCATTTATCTCTGTGCTTTTTCCTCTCTCTGACCCTTTCTGTGACCACAGTGCCCCTGTCTTCACATTACTGCCATTGGTGTCCACATTGTAGTTACTCTTGTAGTTGGGGTAGTCTAGGACTGAGGCTCTGACATGGAAATATAGTAGCTCTTTCAAATGCTTGGCAATGTTGTTCTAAAGAACATGCTGCCCTATCTCTGTTAAACTATGCAATGGTACTTGCAATGATGACATAATTCCTGAGGAACCTGCTGTAGTATCATTCCAAGCATATGGAACTTCATGTTCTTTGATGCTGGCTAATATTTTATTGCACCATTTTGGGTCTGTTGCAACTCCATCAGTCTCTACCATCCCTCCACAGAAGTCCACAATTTTGTGTTTTGAATCGCAGTCCAGCCTTCCTCACAGCAGAGAGGAGCTCTTGCAAGCTCTCAAGTTCTCCTTCTAAGCTGGCTGTATGGACCAGGAGGTCATCCAGTATGCTACACGCTTTTTGTGAGGAATGTCAGCCAGCGCTCAATCTGGGGGCGTTACACAGTGCAAAGGGCATGATTATGGACTGCCACAGCCCTTGTCCGACGGTGAAGCCCATCTTGGGCTTTGCCTTGAGGGTCAACCCTGCTTGACAGTGGAGCGACTTAACCCACCACATCATGACTGAGTGGTAGGGTATACAAATCTATCTGTGTCACACAGCACCACCAAGAGCAATCCCTCCTCTGGACAAGGACCTGGGATTATAGGAAGGGTTAATGACTCAGTAGCAGCCATTTTTGTTTATATCTTTGTCTCAGCTGCCTCCATTTCTGCTAATGCCAGACAGTGAGGATGGAAGCGATACCCTGGATCACTGTTGTGTTGTTGTGAGATCCATTTAATTCTATGTGAAATCTATGGTTCAGTATGATTTATTACATTACAGATTTTCGTTTCTTGGTAGTTTTTGTGACAAGCCATAAGGTCATTTTCACAGTTCCGTATAAAGAGAGCATTAACTGAAGTTGAAAACCATGCTGAAAGTTCCAAATGTTTCAGATAAAATGGCGTATACGTAATTAAACGTAATTGTAATTAACTAACAATGACCAAAGTATTTTTAATTTGCAGACACAAGGGTGTTGCATGTAACAGTGGGTTACATGCCGTAACGCCAATCTTACCATGACCACTGCGTCGAGAGAGTCTTTCTGAGCGACCGCCCATACGCCCAGAGCCAGCATTGTGCAGTTCGCCCATGCGTAGTTCAAGAGGAACCAAGCTGTGATGACCCTATGGAAGACAGACAAAGACATACAGCACATGACACGGGCAAAGATCTTGTCATCCGAAATGAACACGCAACAACACATGCTGCAGAACAAAACAGCATGGATTCCTCATAGAACAAATCTTAACAGAAAATCTGAGAGTCTACCTGCATCTTGATGAATGTGAGTCACTACAGTACTTATCAGTATCGCCGCTGGTGACATTTCTCAGTATTTACTATATTAACATACGTCTCAGCATAGCATAGCAAGACAGGTTCCTCTCAACTTGTTGGAATACAGATTAAATACACTGCAAATAAAAATGGTCAGATGTATAAAATAGAAGCACCAACGTACACACCAGATGGACAGCATCCAATGCAGCAGAACGATCACCTGCAGGACCACACAGGAGTTATAAGAGTCTGCCTACTGGCTTAATAAGGTCAGCAGTCAAGCAGCACATCTCATTATCGCTACCTTAAATCTACGTCTAATGATGCGCATTAAACATTGTCAGAATCCATGGCTGTGGGGTGAATTTAATTCATGTTTCTGCATTTCTTCAGAATCATACATGAATCTGGTAAGATTTGTGCTTAAAAAACGGAGATGTAGCCTGGGATATCACAACAGTACAATATAATGTCATATTTTATGACATTTATAACGTGAGCTTAAACCGACTATAATTACCATAAATACAGTACAGTAATGCTCGAGAGTAACCACAAAATATTACGCAACATCATGAAAATAGTTCACCTTCAGATCGACGGCTGGAATGTCCATATTTTTTGACAGATTCTGGTTTTATATGTTGAAATGTATGGCTTCAGTTAAATAATAACCCGCTTTCGGCTTTCAGTCCTTTCAGATTCTCACTGACTGTTCCCATCGTTTACGCCTACGTTCTCTTAGTTCACATGACTATTGCAAATGTTACTGCAATACAGAATTCGTTCCTCTATGTATTTTTTGGACACACACACACAGAAGACCACACACCCACCCACCCCCCCACATCAAGGGTAAATTGAGGAAATGAGTGGTAACTAACACTGGGCAGTTAGGTTCGGCAAATTAATTTGCTATCTTGGTAAAAAAAAAAAAGTGTTTCTGTGTGTGTGTGTGTGTGTGTGTGTGTATGTGTGTGTGACAGTAGTGCTACAATTACCCACATTACTTGAATTTGCCTTAAGTGTGTAATTCATTTATATAATGATATTACATGCATGACGTTGTACAGTATTTGATAAAAAATTAAATATTACTCAGTCAAACATAAAAAGGAAACACATTAACAATTAGAGGTCATATATATAGTCAAATCTAAGTTTTAGTAATAAAGAAACGTAGTCTTAAGCAACAGCAACATTTTCCAGGGCCATGTTTACTCAGACCTAGAAGGCTCACATCCTTTTGAGACAGTCACTGCTGCTTGTTTGCACAATGGTGCCCTAACTGCACAAGGCTAATAAATTGCAGAAGCAAAAGCGCTTGGTGGAAACCATGTAAGTAACAGTGCTGCTCCTCTGTCCCAAAAAGTCACGATTAGGAAGAAGCACAGTTTTTTTTCAGTTAAACCCTCACTGTGGTCTCATAGATTGACAGCAAAGTAAATGCGTTTTGCAATACTGTGCATTATATTTTTCCTTCGACTGTCTCTTTGTGAGGTTTATCTGAGGTTTTCCTTTAAAAAGAAGACCAGCTCTCTATTCAAGCAGCACATATTGTAATTTCCAGGCAATGTGAAATGACCTGATGATGAAAGACACAAATTGAATGTAGTTTTTTATGTTTTATTCCAAATTTTCCACACACAGTATGTACCATACTGTATGAACCAGTATATAACTTTATCTTATACATTGAAACGTTTTCTCCACCTGACGAATTTAGAATATTTTGTAATGTAACTGAATGAGATTAAATGTCAAAATCTAATTAGAAAAATATACTGTGTTGTTAAAACATGTCTTAACTCATAACATTAAGACATATCACTCTTGCCTGCTTTCTCAGAGGGTTACTTGAATTTACTCACTCTTACGTCTGCTCCCTGTATTCAGTTTCGTGTGGTGAAGTATCTTAATGGTGTACTATATGGACAAAAATATTGACACACCTCTTATTCGTTGAATTCAGGTGTTTCACTCAAACCCATTCAAGCACTTAGCCATGCACTCAGGTTTGTGAAAGAATGGGTCATTCTGAAGAGCTCAGTGAATTCAAGCGTGGTACTGTCATAGGATGCCACCCTCGCAATAAGTCAGTTTGTGAAAATTCTCTCCTGCTAGATATTGAAGGGTCAAGTGTAAGTGGTATTTTTGCAAAGTGGAAGCGTTTCGGAAGAACAGAAACTCAAAAGTACCAAAGTGGCAGACTATGTAAAGTAACACAGCGGGGTTGCTGAGTTCTGAGGCACATAGTGCATGAAAATCGCCAACGCGCTGTTGACTCACTAACTGCAGGGTTCCAAACTTCCTCTGGCATTAACTCCAGTGCAAAAACTGTGCACTGGGAGCTTCATGAAATGGGCTTCCATGGCTGAGCAGCTGCATGCAAGCCTCACATCACCAAGTACAATGGCAAGCATTGGATGGAGTGGTGTAAAGCACACTGCCACTGGACTCCGGAGCAGTGGAAATGTGTTCTGTGGAGTGATGAATCATAGTTTTCTGTATGGCAGTCTGATGGACGAGTCTGGGTTTGGCAGATGCCAAGAGAATGTTACCTGCCTGACTGCATTGTGCCAGTAGATTTTGGTGGAGGAGGGATAATGGTATGTGTTTATTTTTCAAGGGTTGGGTTTGGGCTCTTAGTTCCAGTGAAGGGAACTCTTAATGCTTCAGCATGCCAAGACTTTTTGGACAATTCTATGCTTCCAATTTTGTGGGAACACTTTGGGGAAGGCCCGTTTCTGTTCCAGCATGACTGTGCCCCACTGCCAAAGCAAGGTCCATAACCCTATCGAACACCTTTAGGATTAACTAAAATGGCGATTGCGAGTCAGACCTTCGCGTCCAACATCAGGGCCTGACCTCACAAGTGTTCTTCTGGATGAGAGGGTATAGACACACTCCAAAATTTTGTGGGAAACCTTCCCAGATGAGTGCCAGCTGTTATAGGTGCAAAGGAGGGACCAACTCCATACTGATGCCTATGGATTTAGAATGGGATGTCATAAAAGTTCCTGTAGGTGTAGTGGCAAAGTGTCCCAATCTTTGTCCATGTAGTCTATACCCGTCAGTTATTTATTTTGTATTGAGGTTCATTTTCTGTAGCTTCTGCCAGTAGAAGTGGACCACTCAGGAAGGTTTATATGCAAGGCTCAACGCAAAAGGTTTCGCAAAAGTCTCTGTTGCTCCATGTAAATAAACGTATATTTATAAATCTATAGGCCATGACTGCTTTTAACAGGCAAAGGGGTCCATGTAGGAAAACTCCATTAATACGAAATGAGCTAATAGCCTAAAGCAGGCCCATACAACATGCGTGTGGTTCATCATTACGAAGCGCCATGTGCATCAATTTGTTTCTCGTTATTTTGACTGATTTTAGATATAACGTTCCTTTATCGCATGCATTATTTATAGCTTCTTGTTTATCATTTTTCAGCGTGTCATTTTTTGCAGTTGTTTATTAATGGTAGGTGTTCTCAATGGGACCAATTTGCACGGTTCACCATTAATCTCCCGTTCAGTAGTTAATTAATCAAATACTGAGATATAATCGATAAATATGCAGCGATCAATATTTTCTTTGAACACCGTAACGTTTCACAAAGAAGCTATATATTCATTCAGGTAACAGAGAGGCGAGAGAGTCTGCTATTTCATAGTTCAATGGAAAACAAAACGGGAATGCCAAAACGGGAATGCCAAAATGGGAATGCCAAAAAGGGAATGCCAAAACGGGAATGCCAAAATGGGAATGCCAAAACGGGAATGCCAAAATGGGAATGCCAAAACGGGAATGCCATCCCAGGACTGCATAAATCCCACGTCAGGGGGGTCAAAACTGAAACAAAGACAAAAAGACGTTTCATTGACTCAGTGAATCACAACATGATGTGTGATTTTTGTGATTGTACGGAAGTCACTCGGGGTTTTCAAATGTACCTCATCACATCCTACGTTTACACTGGGGTGTTCAGCTCCACCTACTCTTAACGAGGACTTCCTCTCCATGTCCTGTGGTGGTGATGCCCCTCGGGACCAGTGTCCCCCTGACAGTATGCATGCCCCCTCAGTGGCCCCCCTAAATATGTATGCTACTTGAGTCTGAAATAAATGTAGTATTATAATTATTACTATTATTACTTACATTTATATATGTGGGCTAAAATGTGCATTGGAATCAAAATGCAAAAAAGAAACATAAGGACATTTTCTTGTTGGTGGGGGCGCTGGGGGGGTGGAGTCGCTTTGTTTGGTGAGAAGCGAGGTGAACGACAGAAAAAAATAATCAAGCTTTTGGAAGCAAGACAGTTTAAACAAGAAATCAGTGTGAGTAACATATTTGTAAAAACTGTAAAATGTGACTGCAAAACATTGCATAAATAACATCAGTTTTCAAAATTATCATCTGTTTCTTAATGCTGGCAATCTAGTTTAATATGCAGTGCTTGGAGGACATTGAGGTCAAATGCATCTGCCCCCCCCAACAGAACAACTGGCCCCAGTCTGCCCCCTCAGTCGAATTGGGTTAGAACCGCCACTGACTCTCAGGCCCCTTCTGGGTCACGCAAACGCAGAACAATTTGCCATCATCAAGCCTCCCGTGTTTGCCCCCACCTCTTGGCATCCTGCGCCCTTTTTACGTTCCGCGCGCCTTACAGCATGACACATGTATTGCTTCAGTACTATTTTAATCCTGATGTAAAATAATTTCATGTATCCAGAGTGAATAATGCAATAAATAATGTGATAGGTGTTTCCAAATCATTACACCATCAAGAATGTTTTAATAAATTAATATCCAGAATGCTTCCGATTTTAAAATATCTAGGCAGGACTTTAACAAATAATTGTAGATAACTACAATGAGAACGACAGGTCTGTGAGCAGCTGGGCCTGAGAGCAGCCGGACCTGAGAGCAGCCGGGCCTGAGAGCAGCCGGGCCTTAGAGCAGCCGGGCCTGAGAGCAGCCGGGCCTTAGAGCAGCCGGGCCTGAGAGCAGCCAGGCCTGAGAGCAGCCGGACCTGAGAGCAGCCGGGCCTGAGAGCAGCTGGGCCCGAGCAACTGCAGCCATGTTTATTGGGATTTTGCCCATGTATTATTGGCTTTGGTCACGGCATAAACAATTACTGTTATAAACTTAGATATTTGTTTCTTTTTGTCATCTTATTTCTGTCCTATGTCCCATATATTTTATATTACACCATTTGTCTTGGATGGGAGAGCTGTGCTGTACAATCTGGTATTACCTCTTCCAGGGTTTAATGGATCAGGCAGATTAAATAGGGTAACGAGGTCAGCGGCAGCCAGGAAAAGATGCATCACACTGCCGTTTGCACAGAGGTGAAATGAATTTATGAGGGATTGATTAATGGCTGCACTGCTTAGGCGGAGTGGAAGCTAAGAGAGTGTCACTGTGTGCTTGGTACGTCCCCTTGCCTGTGTGGCTCTGCAGGCTGGTTCCTTCCCTGTGAATCATCATCCTGAACTTGCACAGGGGCTCAGTGAGCAACTTCATAGCCTTGCAATTTTAGGATCCCACCTCAGGCTGTGCGTGTGTGAACTTTACATGTCTTCGCTGTATTCACACGAGTTTATTCCGGGTGCTGTCCAAAAAACATGCCACTGGGTGAACTGGAGTCTCTAAGCTGCCCGTAACGTGTGAGTGGGAATGCATCCTGTGATGGACTGGTCTGTGATTCCTGGGATAGGCACCTGGTTCTCCACAAACCCTCCCGGATTTCCTTCTCACCTCATATTACGACCGTTTCGGCCTCCAGAGGACATGAAACAGGTGTGATTGACTGGTGTGCAGTTTTATTCTCTAAATTTCACAAAAGGCTGCAGAGGACTGTTTTGGGGAACACTGATGCACTTTAATTCAAGAGCAGCTGTGATAAAGCATGATAAATGTCGTCATAAAGCCCAGTATGATGACTTTAATGTAAAGAACATTTTTGAAAATAAGTCTTATATTTTACAACAACAAAAGCAAAACAATTTTTTTTTTTAATGGCCAGAGGTTGGGGGGGGGTGTGAACAGTATGGAAGATGTTATGGATCATTTAACAAGCCATGAAAGAGCAGAAAACAGCCCCCCCTCAGAAATGACACAAGAAAATTAAGTAAATTGGGATTTGTTTTAAAATAAAATTTAAATAAATTACACAAAAAACTATTTGTCTAAGAGCACAGCAATGCCACAATTCTGAAAACAGTTGAAGACATGACATTTCGATTTGAACTCAGGGAGACATGCATATATATCACTAACAGTCCTGCGTGACGCTGCCAGCACTGTGATATGGCAGGTGCCCCCGCCCCTGCATAACTCTCAGATGGTGATAAAAGCCCCCTTCTCCTGGTTCACAGACTCTGGGTCCACACAGCGACCTTTCCTCCGTGTGACGCGCCGTTTCCGGTGGAACTTCGCATAGCAGCGGAACCCTAGAACACAGGAGGAGAACCTTGTCCATGGGGACATACTGGTGCTTTGCTTTGGCCCAAAATGTTCTCTTCCAGGCAGATAGCCAGGTAGTAAGATAGCAGGTATGAACCGCCATCCCGCTCAAAAATTTCCCCCATTTCTGGCTATGGGCCTGTTTCAAGGTATGTGGACTATAAATGAACCTCTATTGCTGTATCAACAGTACTAATACTGGCAGTGTAAAATAATGATTTTCTAGCAATGTTATCATGCTGCTCGATGATGGCTGCCATGTGTCCGTCCCCAGCCCGGAAGGAGCGGAACGGACCCCCACCTTCATCACACATGCAGTCGTCGTAGCATTTGTTGTTAAGCCCGCGGTTGTGCTGTGTACACACATGTCGCCGGAGGTCGCAGCAGGAGCCTGGTATGGGGCGAGAGAAACCGCAACATGAGGTCCCACAGCGCTGCCTGTGACGCTGTTCACACGCTCCCTCTGGAATGTTATTATCACGTGTCGCGGTGAAGGTCACGCTAGCTACATGCATATGTGCCAGTAGATAAGGCAGAAGATCGATTATCATAACATGTATTTCCGCTGCATAGTAGCAATCAAACGTCTGGACACACTGACTGAAAATCATTTGTTTATTAACAAGATAACGACACTAAGTACACCTCGAGGTTATGTACTAAGTATGATCTTGTGAACAAGGAAAGAGACAATCTGAGTGCTGCGACAGATGACCTGGGCCCCCACAATTCCCCGAACTAAACTGTGTAGAGCTGGTTTGGGGTAAGTTGGATCGCAGACTAAGTGCAAGGTAGCCATCTTGTGCCCAGAAACTCCTTCAGGACTGTTGGAGAAGCATTCTAGGCGGCTACATCTGGAAGCTAGTTGAAAGAATGCCAAGACTCTGCAATGCTGTCATCGAAGACAAAGAGGGCTATTTTGAAGAGTCTAAAATTTGCCCGTTGCAATATTCCATATGTATTACTTCATTGTCTTGAGGCCTTTTACTATGAGTTGAATAACAAAGCTAATACAGAGACAAATGCATTAAAAGTAGGCGTCTCCAGACTTATGACTGGTACTGTACATTCTGCTGCATAAGGAACGAAATGAATGAATAAATAAATGAAATCCTGGGATTCAGGATAAACACATCAGCCGTCTAGCTAGATGTGACACTGAATCCATGGGGGAGGTGACTGACCCGGCCTGCAGTCCAGGTGGTGATCACATGTCTCCATGTCTGCAGTCTTATTCCCGCCGCCAAGGCTCTTGCTGCGCTGCCTGTCTGCGTGACGCACGCACAAGAGGAAGCTCTGTTACCCGAGTCCATTTAGGGGCAGCTCACAGCACAGTGACGATGCGGAACGTTCGTGCAGTCTGGAGGAAACGATGCTATTATTATTATTACTCTGGATACGTGAAATTATGCATGGAGGTGTTGGGATACAACCTCAGCGGATGTGTGTGTGTATGTGTGTGTGTGTGTGTGTGTGTGTGTGTGGCACACTGGGCAGGACCGTGGTGTTTCGGAAGGGTGCTTCACCTTTCTTCTTGGAGGATCTCCAGGTGTCAGCCGGCCTCAGGTCCTCATAGTCCGTCCAGTCGAAGAGATCCATGTCCAGGGTGGGTGTCACCTCAGCCTGGGTCTTCCAGGGCCCATGCACTGGAGACGGTTTCTGCATGAAGTACAGGTCCAGGATACAGTGACATATTATGGAATATATTTCAGCATATTAAATTGGATAGTACCATTCCGAAGCCCGAGTGCACTCAAGAGTGGAGTTTTCTTTTTCATACTGGCTTCAATTACATATTTTTCTTTAAATACTTGAAAATTAAAAAAACAAACAAACATATTACTCGTACATAAACAGCAGATAAGGAGCAGCAAAAGCAGTGTTCGGGAAAATTGAAAATGTCCTCAAAATTTGCCACCAGTTGCTTTGATAACAGCTTCATATATACAAGAAATTCAGTTAACATGGTCCAGCAGGAAATCAGCAGCCATATACTCCTAACTTTTCTGCAAAAAAGTTCAGAGATGTACAGGGGTAAGGCAGTGAAACTGGAACCTCCTTTTGTAGTCAATACAGCATGAATCTATCTTGGGAATGACAGAAACAAGGACAATGCAATGGTCCTGCACAGCGGCCAGAGGGATTGTAAGCCAGTCCTCTTGCAGAACAGTGGCCAGGTCACTATGTGATGATAGTAGAAGAAAACATTTTCTTATATTCTTCTCCAGAACTTCCCAAAGTGACTCAATAATATTCCGACCTGGTGACTCTACAGGGAAATGTTCAGCTTCACTTTCATGTTCATCAAACCACCCTGGCACCAGCTTCAGGGTACAAAGTTTGGACCACTGGGTGAACGTGCCCCCCCCCTAGAATGGTTCGGTAGTCCTTGGCTGAGCCCATCTAGAACAAGTAGTGTACCTAGGAAATGCCATGATATTGCAGCCCAAACCATCACTGATCCACCCCCGTGCTGCACTCTGGGTATGTAACAGTCCAGGTGGTAAGCCTCTCTGGGGCTTCTCCACACCGTAACTCTCCCAGATGTGGGAAAGACAGGAAGGTGCATGTATCAGAGAATTATACACGTTGCACATTGTCCAAAGCCCAAGATTTGCTCTTTTTGCACAAACCGACATTTGGCATTAGCTCAAGTGACCAAAGGTTTGGCCAATGCAGCTGAATATTGACCCTGTGGAGCTTTTGACGAATAGTCTTGATAGAAACAGGAGAGTCAAGTGTGCATTTAATTCTGCAGTGAGTTGAGTAGCTGTGGTTTTATGTTTTTTAGATACAATCAGGGTTAGTACCCAAACATCCCTTTCAAACAGCTTCCTAGCTTCTCCTGAACATCAACAATTTGTCCTCTTTTGAACTATGATGTGTCTCCCATTATGTCGTGTGAATTGCAATACTTTATGTACAGCAGTGCTATTGTTGCTGATTCAGCCTTCACACTTTGCTCTGACTGACAGAATTTGCGAACAGTGAAGATGGCCGGCGTGAACCCGCAAGCGCTGAATCGGCCGGGGTTTCAGTTTCGTTGTCCATCCCCAGTAGGTTTTTTGCTCTTCAGGATTGTAGTCTGGCGACTGGATAAATTAGGTCATTAGTTTGAGTCGTCCTTCACTTTCCTTCAGTCATTACAGCACAGTAATTGTTATCAGCTGTAATATAGAATGGAATGGATGCGAGGCATGCTGTAATAACCATGCTGGTTGGGATGATTTGGTAAAGATCTTTAACTCGGTCACCAGCAGTCCCAGTCCGTAGCAGTGGCTCCTCCATGCTTGAGGGTACAAACCATGCATGCAGAACCACTCATGCACCCTCTCTGCTTCTTATAAGAACCTGGTAGTTGGACCCAAATATAAAAAATTTCTAACTCATTAATTCCATAAGGCTGACCTTTTCTCCTGTTAAGCATAAATAATGATTATTTCAAGTAGGTGAGCTCAAACTTTTGACTGATACTGTACATTTGCTTTGCCATTAGCTACAATGAGCAGTGAAACCACAGCTTTATCTCAGCCTGAAAGCATAAATCAGTTTTCTACAGTATCATCGATGCTATTGTATAACACTGCAAGCAGCACTTGCATTTAAAAATAAGTCATTTGCCAGTTAATCCACCTGTGAGAATTCTGAAGTATCCCCCCCACACTTAAAACAACATGTTAAACCAGTGTTTCACAATCCGGTCCTCAAGAACCCCCAGACGGTCCATGTTTTTGGTCCCTCCCAGCTCCGGAGCAAAAATGTGGTCTGTCTGGCAGGGAGCTGGCATGGAGCCGGGAGGCAGCAAAAACATGGACCGTCTGGGGGTCCTAGGGGATCGGGTTGGGAAACACTATGCTAAACTATCAATAAGACAGGGTTCTTCAAATCTGGACCTCGATTCCAAATCCAGGCCTTGTTTTCAGTTCTCCCACGTAGATAGTTTAATAATTACTGATTCTGATTGGTCAGAGGCTTCACACCTGGCTCACAGGTAAAGGAAGGCTGGAAAACCAGCAGGGCTCGGACCTCGAGGACCGTGATTTGAATAGTAGGGCAATAAGACATGATTGTATCCAAAATGAAAAACTGCATCATCCTTATGTGAGTAGGAGGTCTCATCACACTGAGCACAGAGACTCCGTAGCACAGAGGACACGCATGCAGGCGGTGCAGCCGCAGACGGAGTGGAAGCCCCCTGGCCAGACGGTGGCCAGAGGGAGGGACCACCCGCCCAGCCGGACTCCCTTCAGCCCTGTCCCCTTTGCTCTGTCCCCTGTCCCTGTCCCCTGCTCAACAACAAGCCCCCACAAACACCTCACTGAGGAAGGTGAGCTAATTTTGCACAACAGGTGTGAAGGAAAGCTAATGAGAACCAGTCCGTGGGGGTTTGATAGACAGACGGTAAAAATGGAGGAACAACAGGTGGCTTAACACAACCTATCTGCGGCAGCTCCTGCAAGGACACTGAACGTGCGTGCATTTGTGTAGGAACTTAGGCCCTGCTGCTCTGTAAGTAAACCACTCAGATTTAAGCTCCACGTAAACATTATCTATGTTGATGTATCACCTCAGAATCATGGCTAAGAAGTGCTTTTGTTGTATAGTGACTGTGTAAGAGCAGATCAAAGAGACTGAGGTCCTTCAGCACACAGAGACTTCCGAAGTCGTTCTGTGACTCAGTGGTGACATCAGCCATCTTCTGCTGGGGTAGGAACATTGCTGTGTTGGAAAGGGAGAGACTGAACAAGCAGAGTGGCATAGCTGGGTCTGTGCTAGGGCGCCCCCTGGAGGTAGGGAGTGAGAAGAGGATGATGGCCAAATTGCGGGCAATCTTGGACAGCACCTCCCACCCTCTGCATGGGACTCTGTGTGCCCTAGGCAGCTCATTCAGACACAGGCTGTCCCACCCACGCTACGGAGCGGCCCCCGCAGATCCTTGGGTCCTGCAGTAGCCAGAATCTACAACAGCAATCAGTTACTCACACATACACCAGGACTCAAGAGGCATTATTATGATTGTTGTTGACATTATTATTACCGCCCATGTGCCATGTCTTCTCACTGTGCCACCTGACGCTCTGTGTTTATACATTCTGGCACGCATCACTTGTATAGTGCAATGTTTATATATACAGTATATGAGTTGGACAAGGAACCAACCACCTGGCCAATAATGCCTGAGGTTTCACGCCTATACATGTGCAGCCAGGTGGCCAAGCTTTGCACATTCCGTCAGTCAGAGCAAAGTGTGAAGGATGAATTAACAGACCAATGGCACAGCTGTACGTAACATACTGCAATCCACACGACAGAATGTGAGACGTATAAGAGTTCAAAAGAGGACACCTTGTTGGTGCTCGTCTCGCTAGTGCAGCTGTGACCGGGACAGCGAGTCTTTGTGGTGCATCAAGAGCCACAGAATCCCACCACGAAGGACGGACCACATCCAACAGGAGTAACCGTGGATGCAAGAGGAAGCTGTCTGAAGGGATGTTTGAGTACCAACCCAGATTGTATCCAAAAAACAGAAAACCACAGCTGCCCATCTTACAGCAGAATTAAATGTGTTCCTGGACTCTCCAGTTTCCACCAAAACTGTCCGTCAGGAGCTCCACAGGGTTTGTGTGTGTGTGTGTGTGTCAGCATCCACCTAGTCAGCAAACAAACATGCACACCCACCCAAAAAAAAAATCAAATAAATAAAACACACAAGAGACATATTATCATTTGATCACAGGTATGTTAAATGCTATTGTCAGCACCCAACTCCCCCCCCGGGAAATTTTATCAAACCTGAATACTGGCATCAGTATTGGCATCGGTATACCAACTTTGGGAAAACTTGGCATCGGGTTGAAAATTAAATCAGTGCCATCGCCCATCGGTAGAATAAACCCACAATGTAAGCCAAACGTCAGGATCGTCCAGTAGGAATGTCTCTTACATCTCTTACTATTGGACAGTTATAATGTTTGGCTTAAGTTACCCAGCTAAGCGGGAAATCCTGCTGCGTGGAATCCCCCCCCCCAGGGGTGTACCTGAGGTCTGGTAGAGGCTGGGGGCAACACCAGGGGCTCCTCGCACGTCACTGTGGTTACCAGAGATATACTGGAGCTGACAATGGTGGGTGTCGGAGTGGGTGTGGTGGGGGACTTCGAAGCATCAGTGGGGGCTGTCCAAGGAAGCTGCTCCTGCAAAGCCCCCACCTCCTTTAGCTCTAAGGGCAGCAGGACTTCTCTGGAACGTTCTGGAAGACAAACAGAGGTATGGGAGGGCGTGTGGGGCTAATCCCATAGAATCTTAATTCCATTAGTATCGCAGCGTTGACCGGAATGACGTTGTTTTTAACCAGTCATGGAGTAGGACATGAAGAAAGTCACAGGAAGATGGTGAAACACACACAGAACCAGGCATTTCTGTGAACGGCCATTTCAGAGCGCGGTGTGGCTCAGCGGGTTAAGCCTCTGTGCCGGAAGATTGTTGGTTTGAGCCCTGGCCTGGGCAGAATAATTACATCTCTGCTGAGCCCTTGAGTGAGACCCTTAACCCCCCTCAAAAAATGCTCCAGGGGTGCCTGAAAAATGGTCTGACCCAGTGCTTGGACCCAAAGCATTGCTCTCACCTGTAAATGTGTGTGTGTGTGTCTGAAAGAATGGGACTGGAGAAAATAAGCAGTCCATTGTACTCGTTCAAATGGCAAATCCAAGATCGGTACATTTCTGGACCCTGAGATCGGGATACGTCACCTGTTACATGGTGGCTCTTGCTCTTGCGAGCTGCCAGCCTTCTGTGTCCTGCACGGTGTCTGTGACGCCACCCCTTCACAGAGTCCTCACTGCCTGGGGAGAGGTTGCCCAGGTGGCCCCAAGCACCAAGGAACCCGCTCTCTGTCTCAGCCGGTGCCTCCGGGGGGCCCCTCTCCAGTTTTACGGGCTCCAGGCCCTCCAGCCCCGCCCCATCATCAGCGGCATCTGCCATTGGCCCCAGCAGCTGGAAGGGGTGGGGCCAGCCGTGCCGGGAGCGGAGCCACTCCTCCTGCACCCAAGTCTTCATGTCCTGCAGGGCATTGGTGTTGCCAGAAGATGGCACTGTGCGCTCCTTGGCAGTGCTAGATGCAGGCTGAGTGCCGTGTGAAACAGCCAGCGCGGCAAGAATGATGGCTAAGCTCAGGCCCCAGACTGAGAACGCCATGTCTCAAAGCAGCCTCACCTGTGAAAAAATAAAACACATGGGAATTACACTAATGAGTAACAGCCTGCAGTGCAGAGTTAGAGAAAAACCTGCTTCAGGAGTGGGAAAAAGTCGCTGCTTTCAGAAATGGGAAAAGTTAGCAAGTTGCACTCACAGCACTCAATTAAAAAAGGAAAAGCCCTAAATTGCGTGGATGTCAGAAATGCCAGTGAAGCAAATTTACAATCAGCTAAGTGCTGAGAAAGGTTTGTCCTAGATGAATGAATGGTTATATACATCCATACAGACAAGGGCGGTGTGCAGGATGGATGGACAGACAGAGGCGGAGTGCAGGATGGATGGACAGACAGAGGCAGTGTGCAGGATGGATGGACAGACAGAGGCGGAGTGCAGGATGGATGGACAGACAGAGGCGGTGTGCAGGATGGATGGACAGACAGAGGCGGAGTGCAGGATGGATGGACAGACAGAGGCGGAGTGCAGGATGGATGGACAGACAGAGACCGTGTGCAGGATGGATGGACAGACAGAGGCGGA